GAAGAAGGCTGGATCGTCGCTTCGGGTGGAGACGAGCACTTCCATCCCATATCCAGACGATACAGAAGGAACACTCCAATTTGAATGGAGGGCAAACATTTGTACAAGAATTATTTTAAGCATCGGTATTCATTCTGCAAAAGACCTGGGAGGGGTTGGGTCTCCCTCGCTGTTTAATGAATAGCGTGATAACAAACCCACTTGCGTCAGTGTTGGAAATGAGTCCAGATAACAAAAACTGGGATCGGTGAAAACACAGAGGTTTTATTTTTAACCTTAAATCAAAGCATACAAAAGGGGAAAAAGCTGTTTGCAAAGGACATTAGGATCTTAGCTAACCTCAACGTGAGGTTTGAGCCAAGAACCACACCTTGAGATTTCAGAACGTTACATTTTATAGTTTTCTATCGCGACCCCCGCTACGCCCCTCCTACATTGGGTCCAGTGACTGAGCACAGCTAACCCGAAATGCCTTATGGAGGCAATATCATCTCCTTCAACACCTCCCAATAACCACCCGGCTCATATTTTGCCTACATGGCTTTTTCTCATCTTCTTGACATTAAGGAATATTCCTTCAGCAGGGTCTCTTTCTAATGGCGTGGGAACAAAGAAATATCTATTTCTAACACCGCATTGTTACATATCAGTGTACTTTCAGCATATCTTTTCTCCAGCCATCTTAGAACAACATAAAGATTATATGCATCTCCAGCATATTTACCTACATTTTATTTTTGAATTTTCTTATTTCTTACAATAGCACAGAGGCCTCCAACCTTGGCAACTTTAAGACTTGTGGGCTTCAATTCCCAGCATTCCTTGCTGGCTGAGGGATTCTGGGAATTGAAGTCCACAAGTCTTAAAAAGTGGCCCAGGTTGGAGACAGAACAGATAGAACAGAAAGCGATTGAGACAGACGTTCAGGTACAAAAAGATAAGAGCCACACCTGACTTAATTTACAGCACCTTCTCCCTGCCAGAGCAGTCCTGGGAAAAAAAACAAGCACCTTCTGAGCATGTGCAGAGTACTTTCTGGCTGCCAGGCTGGGAGTTCCCAGCCACCAAGATTAGGAAGAGAGAAGCAGAACTGAGAGCCATGTTCTATCCCCAAAGGAAGCAAACTGGCCCCTCTTTCCCTACACGGCCGAGCAACTCAGGGGGGCAGAACTATTAGGGGGGAGGAGGGTGGAGGGGGCGGGTTGTGGGGGGGGGGGGGGGGGGGGGGGGGGGGGGCAGGGGGTTTACCTGGGAATGTGTGGTTTTCTTGCAGGCCAAAAGAGTTTGGAGATTCCTGGAGGTGTGATTACTAATTAGCTGGTGTTTTTTCTCACCTCTCCTCTTATTCGCGGTGCTTTCTTGTCTCCTTACCTATTGTTCCCAATTTTGCAAAAGTGGCCAGTGGGCTTTCCAGCGCCCAAACGAAAGTTGGGGAGCCAGGGCTTTGTCTGGCCTGAGGTCCTGTGTTTGTGTTTGGGATTGGTAGTACGGTGCGCTGCCAAGCACATATGTCGTCTTTCGGGAAATTGTCCCTCCTCTCTAGTTTCCTTTGGCACTTCAACGTGCTGGCCCTTGTTTTGAAGTTGATAGCAATGATGTCTTTGCCTTCTGGCTGCAATCTCAGGGGTGGGAGGGATTTCCTGGGAAGGAAAGAGGGGCCTCCCGCTAAGCTGTGAGGTGGGCAGAAGTTCTTCTGCAGTGGAACGCTGCGCCCACTGAAGTCGGTGTGACCTGCCGTGTCCTCTGTGGGGAAACACCCCTGAAGCAGCCTGGCTGCTTAGCTCCCCCAAAGGCCAGCAACCGCACAGAGGGAGTTTTCCATGACTGCTTTGCTGGGCAGAAGGCGCCACCATTTTGGGGGTAAATCCTGACATTTCAGGCTAAAACAAAAGTCATCTTTGTGTTGAACTCTGTGGGTGTGCTTCCTGAAGAGCTTCACTTCTGCAAATCCCTTTAGATGATTCATGGGTGCTTCGGCAACCAGAGGCCTGGCCCTTCGGCCTTTCCATGTTTGCCTTGGGTCATGGGGAAGTGGGTCCCTTTTAAATAGAGAGGTGTCCTTGCAGGGTCGTATGGATTCATAAGCCTCATAAGGCTGCCTGCCCCCATTGACAGCAATCCACACCGAAGGAGCCCTGTAAAGCCCATTGAGCAGAAAAGGTCCTCCCAAGAGGCTCCTGACCTGGGAGAAAAGCTCTTTTCGAAAGGACCTTCACTAGGAAGGCAGCTGCAGAGTTCCCTGGTGGGATGCTGTTCTGGAAAAACCCATTTCCAGGTTGCCAACAGATGGCAGAGTTTTAGGGACAGGACCCAGGGCATGCCAAGTCTGCTTGACAAGCTTCTCCTTGATGGCACCTGGAGGCCAACCAGCAACTGGGCAGCAGGGCTGCAGCTTGACCATCACTGCCCTGCCATTGTGGCCTGGCCTGGCAATTGCTCCTTGGGGGGTCTTCAAGGGCACCCCAAGTAAAGAAATGGCGAACTGAAGACCGATCCGTTCAAAGTAGAGCTGATGACCATGGAAGAATAAAGAATTAGCAGATTGACTGGATCTACGCAATTCCTCTCCGGATAGGGAAACGGCTTGAGATGGACCACAACTGCTCCAGGAAGTATCCCCTCCCCAGGAGTCTTCAATACAGGTGCATCCAGCATCTTTAGACCTCATGGAAATGAAGCCGCCATTTTGTTTTACCTGCAGCCTGTGTCTTTCGGAGGACGCTGCCTTTTGCACACTTCCTTTTCTAGCAACTTTTGGCAACGGCTTCTTAACTGCAATCGGGAAACTTGGGGTCAACGGTTTGACACCAGGTGAGTTCTCTTCAATCCTGAACAAAAGAAGTTTTAAATACAAGTTTAAGGACTCGAAAGTGTTGTTTCCTTTTGAAATAAGCAGCCAAAGGGTGATTCAAGCTTTTGTTTTTGGAAAATTATAAACAGACCAGATGGATTTGAAACAAGATTCTGGAAGTTATTATAAGCATCCTTCCTGTGGGATCATTGTTTTGAATTATTATGATTATGATTATGATTATTATTATTATTTAAATGGGAGGATGGGTGTTTGAAGGTTGGACTTAGAGGGAAAGAGAAAGAGAAATAACTACACATTACAATTAAAGGAAAAGAATATTAAGTTTGAGAAACAAATGCAGAATGGAACAAAATACCTTAACATTGGACATGTTGAAGATTATGTTTCAACAACAGACCCAAAAGTTAATTTTAAGAGTTTCTGCCTCTATAGATAGACTGTGCTTAAAAGATGTTACAGAAGTGGAACAAGATTCAACCGACAAGACTAAGATTTACATAAAAGTAAATTTAAAATGACAGGCCAGAGATGCAATACTGGATATGCAAGTGAATCCTGCTTGAAGTCTTAATAATTAAAAGTGATACACAAAATTGTTGTCTGGATAATTTTTCTAATTGGATTTACAGTTGAGACTTGCTAAAGCTTTGAAGAATTTTGTGAGAAGGGAGGAAGAAAAAGAAATTACTGTAAGTTCCAGGCATTATTTGAAGGGATAAGATCAAAACTGTTAAAAGTAAAAAAATGAAGGAATGTAAAATTGGTTTATTAGACCAAGATTAAATCAGGTTATCTCTGGTAATTACTAGTGGACTTTCACTGATCAGGACTGAACGAGGGGCTTTAAAGATTTATTTATATATATATAAAATGGGATATTAGAAGAAGAGGCCATTTGCTGTATTTTAAGAGAAGCTGAAAAATTACTAAAATTGTTTATATTTGCAATGAAGGAGAATATATATTTCTATTATATATTTGTTTCTCTTTACTTAGTAGTGTGACTGTGGTGCTCCTGGACAAAATATCCATCACATTGTCCTGTTTTACTGTCCCCATTTATCTGTATTTACTCCCTTTGTTGTTTATATTCATACTTATACTTGTTATCTTGTACATGTTTGACAAATAAATAAAATAAATAAATCGTGTCCGAATGTCCATCAAGAACTCATACTGACCCAATGTCTGATATTTTTCAACATAGATAGACCAACCACCCTGTCCTTGACTGGCTGGGTGGACATTAACATTTGAACTACTATAAGTCCATGTATTTGTCATACGCTAAATGAAATATTTATTTATTTATTTATTTTTATTTGATTTGTCAATTGCTTACAAGAAATAGGTATAAGGATAAACATAGTGATGAATACAAGAAATGAGTACATATAAGAAAAAGAAAAGAAACAATAGAACAGGGACGGTAGGCACTTTGGTGCGCTTATGCACGCCCCCTACAAATAAATTCTCTTTACTATATTCTTATGTTGTTCTTTTTTTTTCTTTTCTACACTTTCTATTTTTCCTCTCAGTCCTTTTGTTCTGTGCTAGTTTGTATCTTTCTAATTGCAGTTTTTAACAAAATGACTATTTTTTTCCTTTATTATTAACGTGGTCTACTTTGTTACAATGACTCCTTTGTTCTTTTAATGTTTTAATTTCTCTATATAGTTTGTGATTAAATGCAGGTCTTCTGTCATTTCCATAACTTATCCAAATATCAGATATTACCTTTTCTTTAACCACTCAAACCAAATGTTCCATATTTCATAATAGTCACTATCTTGTTTATTTTTTAACAGTTTGGTTAGGCTATCGATCTCAGCGCATTCATGTATTTTTTTAACTACCATATCCTCTGAAGGAATGGAAGACAGTTGCCAGTTTTGTGCGTAGGTTATTCTGGCCGCAGTTATGATATGCAAAATTAAATACTGATATTTTCTCTCTCTCCATGTTTGAATCGATGATACTTACTAGCAAGAGGGGGCCCCGCCTGGCCCGCTTCTTCCCGGGGAAGGGGCTTTCGGGGCAGCCCAAGCGCAGGCTCGCCGTGGGGCGGGGCGCGCAGAGCCTTCGCAGCCCTTCCCGGGGAAGCCGCCCCGTTGCAGCGAAGCCCCACCTCGGCCGGGGCGGCCCCAACCCCGGAGCTTTCCCGTCTGAACCCGCCCCGGCAGCCCAGAGCGAACCCGCGATCCGGCTGGAGCTCCGGCCGCGCCGATGGGGGTCCCGTTGCAGCCCCCGCTGCTGGCCCACCTGGCCGGGGTGGTGCTGGCCGCAGGTGAGGGGCTTGGGGGGGCGGGGGGGGGTCCCCCGGGGTTCCGCTTGCCTCGCGGGGAGAAGAGCGCGGCTCCCATCATCCCCAGCCCGTTCCGCCTTCCCTGAACTGGGAGACCAGCAGCTCAGCCTCGCGCAGCCCCGCCGTCCTGGGGGGGAGGGGGGGCGAGGTGGGGGCTTTAGACTACAAAGCCCATCCTCTCCTGGCCAGGCGTGCCGTGGGAGCGCTGAATAATTCCATTTCCCAGAAGTAAAACGGACGCGCTCAAAGGCGCAACGCGTTTGCCAACTGCTACTTTACTGGAAATGCGATGCGCCAGGGCTGTGTTTCGTTCGGGGGGGGGGGGGGATTCAGGAGGTCAGACAACAGATAACAGATTTACAGAATTTGAAGGGACCTTGGAGGTCATCTAGTCCAACCCCCCACCCAAGGAAGAGACCCTACACCATTTCTGACAGATGGAAGCCCGGTCTCTTCTTGAAAGCCTTCAGGGATGAAGCTCCCACAATTTCTGAAGGCAACTTTTGTTCCATTGAATATAGAATACCAGAGTTGGAAGGGACCTTGTAGGTCATCTAGTCCAACCCCCTGCCCAAGCGGGAGACCCTACACCATTTCTGACAGATGGCAGCCCGGTCTCTTCTTGAAAGTCTCAAGTGCTGAGACTTCTGTTCCATGGGTTGAGGGTTCTCACTGTCAGAAAACTACGGGGCTGCTCCAAGTTGCCCAGTGGGTCCATTATCTTGGGGTTTCCTCTCTTTGCGTGTGGGGTGGACACAACTGCGGGACAGAAAGGCAGGAGGTCAGTTTAATTACGAAATCATCATTAGGCTTGGATGTGGTTCGATCCTAATCTTACAGGCAGGTAGAAAGAAGTCACAAGATCGATTCAAGGGGCAAACTCTCCTAGCTTGGTAAACCGCAGCCGAGTTTAATGGTGGTTTATACCACCTGCTAGGGTGGCTAAAATGGTTAAAAATAGGTCTAGCAAATGTTGGAAATGTGACAAAATGAAACAATGTTGGGCGAAGATACCCAGGTGGTTAGAAAAGACGACAGGTAGAGTTTAAACCTGAACCTGTTCTTAATAGGTATAATATCGAAAACATTAGAGAAGAAAAGTATGTGTTTTAATATTGCATGTTGTAACAGCAGCTAGGATTATATTTGTACAACATTGGAAAAATGGAGAAACATTTGCGAGATGAAGAGATAATTAAGAAGATGTTAGATTGTGCAGGAATGGATAGATTGACGTTGAACATTCAACAGAGCGAAGACACAGAACATTATCGAACATGGAATTTATTTTACCAGGGGTTGGGAAAAAGGGGGGAAGATTAAGAATGTAACTAGTATTGTTAAGCAAATTAAATGCCCAGACAACACCAGGTTTATTAAGCACCAAGGAATGTAATTAATGTTGAAAAAAATCAATTGATAATGGTGGTTTGGGGGATGTTTTTCCTGGCTCCCTGCAGGCAAGGAGAGAGAAGAGGGTCTTGCCCTCCACCCCAATTCCAGAGTCCATCCGCCAGGCTCTGCCAAAGTTTTCTGGGGGGAAACTCCCACCCACTCAGGTTGCAGGATTCGGCTACTTCCTGTCCTTTTCTCCCCACCCATCCTGTGACGGAATCCTCTAAGATCTGGTCTCTGAAGTTGATCCCCGGCAGAGATTTCTTGGAAGTCAAAGCCGCTGAATCACCCCCTGCCTTGCCTTTTAATGGGGGGGGGGGGGAGGAGGAGGGGGAAAGGGAAAGAGAAAGAAGGAAGGCTAGAAGGAGGGTCAGGGAAAGGGAGTAAAGAAAGAAAAAGAAAGAGGGTGGATAGGACAGGACAGGACAGGACAGGACAGGACAGGACAAGACAGGGTAGGTAGGTAGATAGATAGATAGATAGATAGATAGATAGATAGATAGATAGATAGATAGATAGATAGATGATATATTGATAGATAGATGATAGATAGATAGATAGATAGATAGATAGATAGATAGATAGATAGAT